AAAAAACAAAGTGAGGACTTACAAAAAATTTAAAACAAACTTCATTTTGGAAAACTACTTAATGAAGCTAAAAAATAAAGAACTGAAAAGTACCCTAACTAAATTCAGACTGAGCAATCACAGTTTAGAAATTGAAAAAGGAAGACACAACAGAAACAAAAGTAGCGACAGAATCTGCAAATTGTGTAATAAAAATGATATTGAAGATGAACATCACTTCCTCATATGCCCAGTATATAGTAAAGAGAGGGTCGTTTTATACAATGAAGCTGAAAAGATTACTCCTGACTTTACTAATCTCACACCTGAAAATACATTCATAAAAATAATGTCAAATAATAACTTAGCAATTCCTCTGGCACAATATCTGAAATATAGCTTTGCTATTAGACAGCAGCACCTACTTAGTCATTAACTTTTTTTTAAAAACCTATTCATTGGGTTTTTGTTTTTATATTCAGTTTATAGTTTTTTGTAGGTGTTTCTTTTTACTTTATTATATACTTCCGTTACTAACTTCAATTTAGTCTGTTTCTGGTTGTCTTTAAACTATTAGTCATTGTAATTTGATTAATTTTAATCTGTAATTTTTGTTGTTGTGTAACCTTTAACCTCCTTCAGTAGGTTGTTATGAGTTAATAAATTGTTTGTTTTGGTATATACAAATTACAATAAAGTTAGCCTGTCGAAAGAAGCGTCATCGTCTACCGGTATATATGCATCGACCGCTAATTCATATACGTTACACACATAGGGCTAATCTTGTTACACTGTTCAGGGGACTCTCAACAACCACGGTTACTACAAAAAATAACCGTGCAACAACCATCGCAAAGTACCGTTTTCTGCGAGTTTTTGGTCTTTGTTTTCACCGCGAGGGTTGCCAGGCGGTAGAAAATGCCCGGATGTCCGCCCCCGAGAATAGCCTGTCGAAGGAAGCGTCATCGTCTACCGGTATATATGCAGGTGTTTTTTGTAGTTAACTGTAACGTCATTGTCTGTCGTAACACATTTCACAGCCTCAACAACGCGATTATTAGCCTAACCTCGCCATCTGACGTGTTTCTTTCACCGAATCCCGTCCTTTTCTTTCGTTCATATACGCCCATGTCATTGACTCAGTTATGTTTTTCAGTCACTATGACTACGACTAACAAATAACTACTATTATGGGATGGTGAATAATTGGT